TGTTCTCATCCAAGCACCTGTGAACTACATTTTCGACTTCGCATCGGTCTTATCAACACCCTCAGCGGGAGTCGAACTGCAGTCCACTCCAGCCGGGATGAGAACAACTTTTAGCAAAGCAAGGCTATGCGAAATGCAATGGAAACATCAGCTCAACTCATAACCTTGTGGTAAAATTCTACCACCAGTCCTTCATCAACTTAGACGAAATAGGGTGAATACATCTCACGACACCATCTTGTCCTTCATATCTTCAAAGTTGCATTTGTTACAGCAATCGACAACACTACTTATTTTTCGTCTATAAGTAGGCTCTATAAACTACCAGTAGATCATATTTGTATCAAGTGCATTCAGCTTATTTCATTTGAGGCAATAGGGTTAAATAAAATTAAATTACCAGTCCCTTTATTGCCTTAATCGAAGTATCGTGAATATACTTCATTTATCTGGTTTATTGATAGTTCTGAAAACCTACTTACAAATGAATAATTCCCATGACTAACTGGGCAGAGGACTCATCGGGGTCGTCCCGGCAACAGGACAAAATAGGGAAAACAGAGTCAGACCTAAGTAGGTGGATTGCCTGAGGAAAGCGTCCATCCGACGCTTCCAGAACTGCCGGAATACTTCTGGCCAAGCGGAGTCAGTGGTCCTCTCCGTGAATCCCTTCCGTGCCCACTTTAGCTCGTAATGTTAGTGTGCCCAAAAGACGGATAAACAGACGGATGGAGGGACAAAGGACACAAGTGGAGCTGAGAAATGGACATAAAGCACGCGCGAGAGAGAGCGAGTCTGTACGAGGAGTGCATTGAGTGTACACTTGTTCACTGTGACAAACCTCGTGTAGATACGAAAAGTAATTGGGTTTCGATGAGTCTCCTGAAATGACGTTGTTGGGGGGGGCGTCAATTCGCATGAAAGTGCATAAAAAAGAGATTCGCATGATTGGCTGCGTCAACCTGAACGTGGTACAAAAGCCTAATGGCTACAGTACAACGGGATTCAGCCGTCATGTGAATCTATTCTTTATGCACTTTCATACGAAATGAAAGCTTGCCAGATCGGCCAATGGGTCGGCGAGATGAAGGGACCAAAGTGTGAATTTCCGCCTGAGTAGAGGGTGAACGTGAAAAAAATATGAAAATTTTTTTTATACTTTCTCTTTTCTTACTGAAATATATTTACATCAACAGACTGTTCCAGTGGCTGGTTCGGTGAAGGCTGCTCCCGAACTTGCAAATGCCATGGCGCCGCGGAATGTGCCGTTGACACTGGCAGCTGTACCTGCCCTCCTGGCCATGTGGGACCCGATTGTGAGATGAAGCCACAAGGTAGGCCAGATTCACTTGCTTCTTTGCTATGACTACGAACTAGTATGCTTTTGATACTGCTGATGATGACAATACTGGCACTGACTGACAACCTGAATGGAGTAGATGCGAAAAGAAACTGAGTTTCGACGAATCGCCGAAGATAAAATTGTTGGGAAGACTTCCATTTCGTATGAAAGTGGGCATGTTGAAGAGGTTCCAAGGCTAATCTGATTAGAACTGCAGCCGTTTTCACTTTAGAACGACATTTAGGTTGGCGCAATCTACGTGACATCATCCCTCGTTTCGGATTAAAACACAATCAGCTTTCGTTTATCAAATGATGGACATTGTCAGAGCCGAATGGTCTCCTTTAACCATTGTTAACTTGAGACTTTTGCAGGAATGAGTTCCAGCTTTGATGAGGTCCATCATTTGATGCACAATATATGATCCCATTTCCCCCCAGAACGAGAGAGGACTTCTCGTAGACTGCGTCAAACGGAAGGTCGTTTTAAGGCCAAACGGCTGAACTAAAACACGAATCAGGCGTCCTCTTCTGATGAGATTGACCTTCGCATCTCTTCTTCATACACTTTCACATTAAAAAAAGGCTCCCCAACTAAAATGGAGTCTTTTGATCAGGCTGAAAATTTCTTCTGTCAGCGAACATGTTCTGTTGAGCCGATTTCAATTTCGAGGGAAAGTAACCAGAACATGTTAATATTGTCACTTGAAACTTAATCTGAGATGCATTCACCCGATTTCGTTTAAGGTGATGAAGGACTGGTAGAAGAAGAATTTTGCTACAATGATATAAGTTGAGCTGACGTTTCCATTCAATTTCACATAGCCTTGTTTCTCAAAAGTTGTTCTCATCCAGACAGAATTGGACTGAAGTTTTGATCTT